GAAGCACCAGCCAAATAGAATATTTAAATGCATATAAGCACATAATCGTCTTCATGAACTCCGGGACGTGAGGCGGTAATAACGAGATGAGGAGCGAGCGCTCTGGTTCCGAGCCGGTTCCTCTTCAGCTTCCTGTGGTTTCAGTGGATGAAAGCTGCTTCGGTTCTGGCTGTCCTCTGTGTAGCCGGGCTGAACCTCCACAGACCCGATCCCCACAGGAAGAGCTTCGCATCGAGAGACACGCTGGATGGGTGGAGGACACAACAAGGTGGAGCTCCACCAGATTACATCAGTACTTCAATGCTGCCAGCGAATCTCTTACCAAGTCGAAAAAAGGCTCAAAAATGGATCCAGTCTTGTAAATAGGAGCTAATCTTTCAAGCCAATTCTGAGAGAGTTTGTGATTAATGGACACCACAAAATAAAGTATTGTTAACACATTCTCGTCCGACCCTCCTCCTCTCCTCTCTCCAAATCCTCTCGTTTTCATTTCCTCGCTAACCACCGTGTAGCATCTCCGCCTCAGCTCATCGCGCGGCTGGCTAGTTAGCCCGCTAACATCAGCTTGTATCCTCCACGGTTACACGCTAACTTCACCACCTTGGAGAGAACTTTGGGTTCAAGGTTCCTCAGAGAGGAACCAGTGGATCGACTGCTCTTTAATTGGCTGAGGAGCCCTCTTGGTGGAGCTGAAGTGTGACACCAGACGGAGAAGCTCCACTGCTGCAGTCTGCTGCAATCATTGTGATGTACGATTACCGTGTGTGTGTGTGTGTGTGTGTGTGTGTGTGTGTGTGTGTGTGTTACGTTACAAATTGTGACTTTCAACGGGATGGAGGAGCTCTGACAGTCGGCTGACTCAAAGCGTTGCCGGAGTCGGATGTGAAGGATTATTCCTCCATTAAAGCATTAAAGGCGACGCTGATGGATTTCTGTATTTTCGAGAGGAGCAGGCAGCCCCCCCCCTCCCCCCCCCTCTTGGGAAATTGGGGAACAATAATGCCGGGGAAAAAGGGACTTCAGGTGGGTGTCCCAATTGGGCGGAAAGTGTTGGCTCGAGTATGTTTCAGGATTTTCAGAAACCCCAAATCGGTGGGCCGGCCTCCCTGAATCATCTCGATGGGGGCCCCTCTCCCCCTCCGGTTTT